TCTCTGTGGCTTTGGAGGCTGTCCTGGAACTAGCTCTTGTAGACCAGCTCTGTGGTCTTGAACTCACAGAGATCCTCTGCCTCCCGAGTGCTGGGATTAAAGGCGTGTTAAACCACCATCTGGCAGTTCTTTTTATTTTTGGTTTGTTTGTTTTTTCGTTTTTATTTTGTTCGTTTTGAGACAAGATCTCTTTGTAGTCCTGGAGCACACTGTAGACTAGGCAGACCTCCAACTCTCAGAGATGTGGCTGCCTCTGCTTCCGCCTCCTGAATGTTGGGATGTTGGGATTAAAGCCAAGTCTCAGTTCTTAATTCCCCCCCCAATCAAATTTCTGACTCTTTGACATTATAGACACACTTTTTGAAAAAAATTAAGGCTCAAATATCTACTAGGTGCCTTGATTTATGTATCCCAAGGTATTGTACTTAATAGGTAATAGTTTTTTTTTTTTTTTGACATTGACTTGTGTTCGTTGTTGCACAGATGTAGTTAGTAGGTGTCTGAAAGATGCAGTAGAGAAATAGCGATGAGTCTAGGGCCATACCATCCTAATCCTCCAGATCTCATTGATCTCAGAAGATAAGTAGGATGGGCCTGGATAGTACTTGGATGGGATAGAGGACAGTGAGTGCTTCAGTGGTCCAGTGTGAATCTGTCCGAGGACCCTTTAAAGATACAGGTGGTCTGGAAGCCCCAAAGTGCTCATATTTCTGGTTTTTGAAGTGTTGTTTGAGACCGGAGTGACATCTTCATAGAGGAAGACTTTGTGGCTTTCTCAAACTTTGGATGACTAGAGTAGGAAGCTCTAATGCTAGTGATTGGTTGATTTGGGGAGGTCTGGGAAGGAAGATGGGGCACCAGAGAAGGAAGTCCAGTGCATTTCCTTCCTCTTTGTCCAGGGAGGCTTGGCCCTCAAGTGTAGAAATCAACAAAGCTTGATGTTGTCACCTTCCTTTGTTTGTGCCCTTCCTCCTCGTGCAGAAGTGGGGCATTTCCCTCCTGTTTCCCAAGGTCCCCTCAGGTAATCTTTTGCCAGTCTAGTTTCATTCCCAGAGCTTCTGGGCTCTTTCCTCTTCCAAGTCCAAACATATTCATTACCCCAGAGATGCTATCGCACATGTTAGGGAGACTGAGGTAGTCTCTGTAATGTACCTCTAATGACCACATAAGCACTTGTGTTTACTTTCATCTGTTGTCTGTCTAAACAAATGAAGCTTGTGAAGCTTTTTTTCTCAGGTGATTAACAGTGAAGAAATGTATTTAGAAAGACTTTCTTGGGAGTGGCATATAATACAACTTTCTCCTTAATTCCACAGTCTGCAAGAGTCCTTATGTGTTGCTCTTGGATTGCATAACCAGCTCTTGGCAGGAGTGTCTTTATGTGCTTGGGTGATACATGGAGAATTGCTTAGCTGGTGACATCTGTAGCTGAGCGTGTCTTTTTTTGCTGCTTGCTCCACCATTTGGTATCAAGGGCATTGGCCAGAAGCACTGGTTTTATCCTGTGACTCTGAATCTGCTAGTCAGAGAGGAAAAACACAACTACCTCAGAGCTAGGAGCACAGCCATCATTTGATATTCCTAAAAGGATGGCAGAGCTGCCTCATGGAAATGACACTGCTTGACGGTTATAGTTTTTTTAAGTGTATATAAGGCTTCATGGGCTTAAATTTGAAATAGTGGCAAAGGATGCTACAACTGGAGTAGCTTTAGGCTTGTAGGCTTGGAGTAGCTTGTCAGCTGTAGGCTTGTGAGGCGAACTTGGATGAAGGCCCGGTACGTGTTGGCCAACCACCCACCCACCTAGGCCAACATGTTACTCTGTATGCACTTGGGATTTGAATGCAGACTTTCTGAAGTAAACCTCAAATATGTTATTCTTTATGGACTTGAAGTCCTTCCTGTTGGTAGATTATAGTAATGCTAACTGTACATTTTTAATTTTCTTGGTTTGTCTCATGGTTTATCATTTTTCCATAAAGTAGCTTGTTAAAAATATAATTAAGTGCATTTTAAAGCTTTTTAAAGATGACAAAGATTTACAAATTAAAATTCCCTTTTTGAGATGTGCCCTGAGTTTTGGTTACTGCAGGTGAGTAGCATTTTGAGTAATAGGGTTTTGATGCCTGTTATGTTGTCAAAGTTAATTCTCAGAATCACCTCATGTATCCCAAATGAAGTAAAATGACTCAAAGAATAGTCTGTGTTGTCCTGCTATTCCCTCATCTATATTTGTGAACTTAGACAAAACATTAACTTTAAGCTCAAGTTTTGTCATCTATAAAATAAAGAGCCGTGCACACTTTCCTTGGCCAGTTAACAGATCTAGAAAGTTGTGTTTAAGGAAACAACCTAGTCCAAAACAATAAGTAGTAAATATTGACTGGATTTTTTTTCTTTAAAATTGTACAGACTAATTTTAGAAAATGCCAAGTAGGAAGTTTGCTGAAGGTGAAGTGGTCAGAGGTCGGTGGCCTGGGAGCTCCCTTTATTATGAAGTAGAAATTCTCAGCTATGACAACAAGTCCCAGCTGTACACTGTAAAATACAAAGATGGAACTGAACTGGAGCTGAAGGAGAGCGATGTCAAGGTGAGTGTACCTTAGGCTTGCACTAGGATGGAGGGCTACAGGCACATGCCAACCTCTGGCTTTGGAGCTCTGGGGCTCAGGGAATGTGTGAGGTATGGGTGCAGATCCCAACAAGCTCATACCCTTGGGTCTGACCCCTTCTGGGAGTGTTTGCTGTAAGTGCTGTTTGACAGGGTGGGACAGGCCCTGGTTTAGGGATTTTTTAAAATTTTTTTTTATTTTTATTTTTATTTTTTTTTTAGCACTGTTTCCTTGAGTTGAGCTCTAGGACAAATGGGAAAACAGGTGTAGGGATGGCAGCATACCAAAGGCTAGTGGATGATCAGACACAGTCAAGTACCAGAGAGGTGGATGGCTGGGGACAGTAGAGGGGTCCACAGGAGGCAGATTGGGGGATTTTTTTTTTAATAGCCATGTACAGGGCTTGAGTTTCTTTTCTGTGTGTGTGTGTTTTTTTCCCCCAAGACAGGGTCTCGTGTAGCCTTGGCTGTCTTGGAACTTGCTTTGTAGACCAGGCTGGCCCTGAATTCAGAGCCCTGACTGCCTCTGCCTCCTGAGCGCAGAGATTAAAGGTGTGCACTACTGTCTCTTGGCAGGGCTTGAGTTTCTTCCCCACCCTGGTGATTTAATCAGAGTGATGTTTCTAGGTTTGATGTCAGCTCACAGCTTCCTTCCCAGCCTATCTGTCGAGGGCCTAGGTTTTATATAATAGCCCATGGCATACAAATACTTACATAAAATCCATAAAAATTGATTTGTGGAAAAATATTTTAAAGCTGCAGAGTTTTAGTTGTATTCTACAGGTGTGAAATTACTTAGTCAAAATGTTCTACTGAGAACTTTGCAGTTTTGTATCTGGGTGGTGCTGGTGCACTCCTTTAATCCTAGCATTTAGGAGGCAGAGGCAGGCAGGTCTCTGTGAATTCAAGGCCAGCCTGGTCTACAGAGTCAGTTCCAGGACAGCCAAGGCTACACAAAGAACCCTGTCTCAAAAAAAGAACATTTTGGGTTTTGGACCTTGTGACCTGTCAGTAACTAATGGTTATTGACTGTTAGTGGGTCACACATACCCCATGTGCTCTAGAAAATGTCTTAGGCTTCATGGCTCAAAGGTTTCTGTACCTTAGGGGCAGGGCAGCTCCAGGCAGTATGGCATGTGCCTTCTCTTTTGATGCCGTTAGCACTCATTTAAGATACGTAGATGCCATCCTTACCTGAGGGCCACATACACAAAACAGCATCTGAATGGGGCTCAGGGTTTGCCTTGCTCAAGTCTGTATCCCTGGAAACGAGGAAGGAGTGGTTGCAGTGATCAGAGCAGAGTGCAGCGGAGCCAAGGTTTCAGAGTGACTCTGTAGGGCTGCTTACCTTTTGAAAAATTGGTTGCATGCTAATTAGCATGTCTTACATGTCAGTTTTAGTCATTATCAATTAGAAGTCTTTCTTGTGTTACTGGGAATATATACAACTAGTGGGGTAGACACTGACTCCAGGGAAATACCTTCCAAGCCAGCAGAGGAGGGGCAGCACTGTTTGTTTCTTCCCTAGGAGCTAGAATCATTGCAGCGATCCCCTCTGGTTGTGTGTGATCAGTTCTCATGGATTAGACCCTGTGAGTCCCTTTATGTTTAGGATGGATGGCAGCAGATAGTGGCCCTTACTGACATCTTCTAGCTTAGCTCTGCCACTGGATGCTAGTGTTCTGAAAACATCTGTTGCTTCTCCCTTCCTAGCCTTTAAAATCCTTTAAGCAAAGGAAAGGTGGCTCAACTTCCAGCTCTCCTTCAAGACGCCGCAGCAGTCGCTCAAGGTCACGCTCCCGATCCCCTGGCAGAGCACCAAAAGGTTCCAGAAGATCTGCCTCTGCTTCCCACCAGGCTGACATTAAGGAAAAGGAAACACGGAGGGAAATTTTGCAAGTTAAATTGACTCCGCTTGTATTGGTACTTGTTTCATCTATAACTGCATTGGCTTCCCCCTTTATATAATGCGTATTCAGATTACTCGCACTTTTGTTATTGAGACAACAAATCCAAGGGACTAGCCAATGTTTGAAGAAACATAGTTCTTTTGAATGCCTAAGAAAAATGTTTTTATACCTTTAATCTTTTATTTTCTGTGTGTGTGTGTGTGTGTGTGTGTGTGTGTGTGTGTGTGTGTAGTATGTGTATGGGCACGCATGTAGAGCTAGAGGACAACTTTGTGTAGTTAGTTCTCTTTGTCCACCCTTATCTGAGTTACAGGGATCAAACGCAGACCATTGGGCAGGAAGGCAGGCATTGCAGCTACAGAGTCATGTCACTAGGAGTGCTGTTTGTATGTCTTTAAAAGATGTTTACATTGCCACAGACATAACTTGTAGGCCATGAAATGAGACAACTATGCTATGGGGAGGTTCTCGCTCTCCTAATTGGCATCTTTATGGTGGATCACCTTTGCTTTTAGAAATGGTGTTTTCAGTGGATTGACTTTCATGGTGCCTGTGTGGCACCTGGAGACACCTAGCGCAGGGAAGGTTTTTGTTCTGTGTTTTTAAGTTTTTTTGTTTTTTTTTCTCCAAGACAGGATAGCTCAGGCTGGCCATGAACTTGATATAATCCTTCTGCCTCAGTCCCCTCAGTGCTGAGATCATAGGGTGAGCTACCACACTTGGCAGATGAATATTTTAGAGCAGTGGTTCTCAACTTTCCCAATGCTGTGACCCTTTAACACAGTTCCTCATGTGTGGTTCCCAACCATAAAATTATTTTGCTGCTACTTCATAACTGTAGATTTGCTACTGTTATGAATCATAATGGTAAATATTTTTGGAGAGAGGTTTGCCAAAGGTGCCAGAGGTGTCTCGTGTTTTCTTCTTGGCTCAGTAGTGCTTTAGTTTGTTAACAGTTTACAGAGGAGTGAAGAGACGTTGCAACCATTATCTTAAAAAGCTCTTGCAAACTAAATCTCTTCTCGTTTTGGTAAGAAACTGAGGCTGAGTGGAGAGGGATGTGTAGGAAGGAAAAACTTAAGGGTAAATGTCAGGTAGCATAAAATTCCAGTGCCTGTTGCTGCCTGTTTAGGGTCACTGAAGGTTTTTGCCTCATTTTTTTTTTTTCTAGCTTATGAATGAATTTGCCAGTTTTGACTTAACCCGACTTTCATAGAACTGTTACAATAATTGACAGTGAAATTATTGAAACATTTAGTATGAGAGTGTTTGAAAGATGGAAAAGTTTGTTCCAAAACCTGGCATGGTGTTGTACAACTGTAATCCCAGTACTCAGACAGGAGGGTGAGGCTGGAGGATTGCCACAAGTTTGAGGCTAGCCCAAGCTATGCAGTGAGTTTAAGGTTGGCTGGTTACATCATGAGGCTCTTTATCTAAAGACTAGAACAGTGTACACTGTAAGAGCTGACCTTGGACAACCAGGGAAGTCTAGTTGAGTTCATCTCTTGACTCTTAGCTTGTCTCTGCTTCATTTCCAGTAGTAACTTGTTATCATTGTGATCCTTTTAGTCAGTAACAGTTCTGATTATGATGCTTTCATATCCCATTTAGAAGCCATTTGGAAACAGCATCAATGTATACAACGGGGAGCCTGAACACACAGAGAAGAATGACATATCTCGTAAAAACAAGCAGGTAACAAAGTGCTGTCGTTCATCTGGGGCACTTCCTTTCCTTTTCCTTCCCCTTCCCCTTCCTTTCCCTTCCTGTCCCTCTCACTCTGGAGTTACATTAGTTCTTGCTCTGTCCTTAAGGCTGCATGTGTTTTAACAAATTTATTCTTGTATGTCCCCAGCTGTGTAGAGATGCTGAGTTAGCAGCATTTGCAATTGTTGTAACCTTAGATAGTTAATACTTTTTTCTTTAAACTAGGAAAAAGTCATTTTGTCACCAGAAGGCAGTTTCATAGCTACACAGTACAGCCTTCGTCCAAGAAGAGAAGAGGTCACGGTTAAAGAAATAGAGTCCAAGGAACAAAAGCGTCTTCCCAAAGTACCTGCACCTTTGGAAACCTTTCAAGTGACCACTCCGCAGAGGAAGAGCTTGGAGTTTGGAGGAGTACCTGGTAGGTGTTAAACCCCATCAGGGAGGAAGGGCACGGAGTTGCTCTCACATGCTCAGGGAAGGTCTCTGCAGAGAAGGAACAGGATATGAAAGCCTGAGCTGGGAGCTTTGGCAGCAGAGTAGGAAGGACGCTGATATGGCTGTCTGTTAGGTCTTGAGTTTGGAATTGTAAAGGAGTGGTGATGCGAGTTTGCCCTGGGGAAGGTGCAGGAAGGGTAGTGGTGGTCCTGTGGTGACGGGTGCAGATGGCAGGGCCTGGCTTGCATTCGTAGCAGGAACAAGCTGCGGATGAAGCGTCCCGCTGCCCTCCCCCGCCTGCTAGGCAGAGTGAATGAGCTGCCCAGGGAGTGCAGTGTGCAGAGCCAGCCTGTGGGTTAGTGAGCACATGAAGCTGGTGAGAGAAAGCAAGCTCAGGACCTCAACCAAACAGTCTACAGTCTGCTTGGCTTACCTGCGCTGCTAGTTGGTCTGACACAGATGGTGTCTGGCATCTCCCAAAATCTATACATGTGTAAAACCTCTCTCCAAAAATATATAAAGTCTAGTAAGGTTACAGGGCTCGTTTTCAGGCTTGAGTATAGTGGCTACTCCTCTATAGAGTTCAAGGCCAGTTTGAGTTACACAGTAAGTTCAAGGCTAATGGAGGCTATGTAACAAGATTCCGTTTCCTCTCCTCACAAAGAGTAGACCAACCATTATTTGGTGTCTGGCTCTTAGCAGTTGCTCTTTGGGAGACTGGAGTTGAATGTCTTTGAGTCAGGTCTCTGAGGTGAACTCATGCTTTCATCACTTACCCAAGGTTGTATGTTGTATGTTGTATGCCCATTGGAGGTGACAAGTAGAGACAGTTTATAAAGTTACTACATTTTATTACTATCTTGTGTGGTGGTGGTGGTGGGGGGGAGAGCACGTGCTAATGCTGTAGTGTTCATATAGAGGTCAGGGTTAGCTCTTCCACATGAAAATCCTGGGGTTTGTGAGGATTTTGTGGCAAATGCCCTTACTGCTGAACCATTTCCTCAGCCTGAGATAGGGACAGTTTTTGCTTGCCTACATTGTTTGTTATGTGCACCACACATGTGCTTGGTGCCCAGGGAGGTCACAAGAGAACATCTGCTCACAGATGTTTGTGAGCCTCCATGGGTGCTGGGAACTGAATTCAGGTCCTCTGAGAGCAAGTGCTTTTAACTGCTGAGCTCTCTCGTCAGCCCCTAGATGACAAGGCTTTGATGATACCTTATAGATTGTTTTCAAACAGCTGACCTAGTGTTGCCCTAAATGTAAAAATATATAAATAAATGAACAGCCCACATGGCTTAAAAGACTAAGCAAGCTGCCTGGAGTTTGAGTGTGACTGGACTGCTTGTTTGCAGGTGCATCGCTCATCATGCTCGGCCTGCCTGCCTGCCTCTTCCTGCTGCTGTTGCAGTGCAGGCAGAAGGACCCCAGCCTGCTGAGTTTCCCTCCTCCTCTGCCAGCTTTGGGTGAACTGTGGGAAGCCAGAGTGTGTGGCATCTACCTCCTCTGGTTTTTCATTCAAGCTCTCTTTTACCTTCTGCCAATTGGGAAGGTAAGGTTTTGGGGTTTGTAAATTTTTTTTGAGATATGGTTCTTGCTGTGTAGTCTTGGCCGACCTGAACTCACCAGGTAGACCAGGCTGGCCTTGAATTCACAGAGATGTCTGCCTCTGCCTCCACAGTGCTGGGATTAAGGCCATCCTGGTTGAAGGCAAGGTTTTGCTGAAGGGCATGGTATCGTGAAACTTGTCTGATTCTTTGCTATTAGTTACATTTATAGCAGTTTCAAAGTTAGAAGCTGTCGGTCATACACTGGAGCTGTTATTTCTGTGCCCTTCAACTTACTAAGCATAACTTTAAAAATACAATTTACATATCTTGTCTAATTTCCTGTGTTTACTTTTCTTGTATTTCCAATAGAATACCTGGATCATGGTTTGAGGGTGACACCCATAATAGCAGAGAAATGACGGTGGCAAGAGAGTGAGGTGCTGGTCATTGTATCCACCCAGCTTTCTTTCCTCTTTTTCTTAAAATTATTTCATCATGTTGTGTGTGGGGTGTTCTGGCTGCAAGTATATGTATGCACCGTGTGTGTAAGTACTCTGAGGCCAGCATCAGTTCCCCTAGGACTGGAGTCAGATGGTTGTGAGCTACCCTGTGGGTGCTGGAATCACTCATTGCCTGGGTCCTCTGCAAGAGCAGCTGGTGTCCTCAGTCCCTGAGCCGTTGTTCCAGCTCCTCTCCTTTCTTCAGTCTGGGAACCCAGCCCATGAAAAACTTCCTCACGGCTGTGCCTAGAGGTTTGCTTAGATCTTGTTAGGTTGACATTCAGTGTTTCGATCACAAACTTTATTCCAAACAATCCAAACAGAGAAGAGTAAGCTCAATGTTTGATGGCAGCTTATCTCTTTGGTAGAGGCAGCTGGGCAAAAGAACACCTCCTCAGTGTGTTCACTTCAGGTATACCATCTTACATCATTGTCTTTTGAGCTCCGTGGATTAAAAAAAAAGAAACAAAATACAGATTACAGTTTGTTTCCAGTTTTGAGCCTCAGACATCTGGCAAGAACACGGAGTCCTTTTCAGACTCATGCATTATCTTCCCTCCCTCCTGCTGCTGTGTAGTCTTTCATTTGTGTACCTTTCCTGAGAGAGAGAGATGTTCAGAGAGCATGAGCTGCCCTCAACAGTACATAATTTATTCAGACCTTATTCTTAGGAGACTGCAGCTTTGCCAGATGGAAGTTCTGTTAGGAGCGTGGAGCTGTGGAGTGTCACTGGAACTGGCTGTCTAGGCCTTCCTGTAATGATGGACCTAACGTCATTCTTATTGTAGTGCTCTGTTCAGATTCGGATTAATTTATTGTGAGGCTTATGTAAGCTAGATAACATTTATTTGGAAAATTAGTTTTGTGGCTAAAAATCTTGCATACATACAAACTAAAGTGATATAGATAGATAGATAGATAGATAGATAGATAGATAGATAGATAGATAGATGATAGGTAGGTAAGTAATGGGTGAGTGTCAGACAGACTCAAGGTTGAGAAGTCCTCTATCTGTATTATCAGACTAAGGCCTGACAAGACACCTACAGTTGAGAAGAATCACTTGGGGTTTTGCCAGACCTGTGATCTCAGGTTTTACATTTCTATCCTGGGTTCCTTTTCCATAGCAAATGAATAGATGCTGGCAGATGATGCTGTCTTAGTGTTGGGCAGTGTAAAGTGAACAGCTCATTTTTGAGTAGCTACTTGAGGGTATATGTGGCTGCCCATTTACTCAGACAGCATTTACACCCTCTTGGTCGTCCCTGTGCCGTGTGCAGTGGGTTTTGCCATGGTGGTTCCCTCTTGGGAAGCATGCTCACGGTCCTTTGCTGGAGAGTACCACTCAGCATAGTAGAGGAACATGTGTAAACAGTGAAACAAGTCGGTGTATGCATGGTGTTGGCAGCACACTATCCCACTGAAAAGAACCTTTGCTCTTCATGGTAAACTGTTGTTTACATATACACGCTTACTATGGCTGGGTTCCCTGTGTGAGAGTGAGCGTGCACATTTCTTTTTGAGGTTTGTGTGACTTCATACATTCTAATCCCATTTTCCTGCAGCCTCCCTCTCCCCCTTTAAATAAAAATTAAATATAAGAGGAAGGGCCAAATGCAGGTAATGGACACAGTTATGAAAGAGGATATAAAGCTAATTGCTTTCTGGTTCCAATCTGGCATGGATTTTTCTGGGTTTGAGGATAGGTAGTACATAACTATATTCCATATTGAAAGTGTAAAGATTAACATGAGCTCCACAGCTTCCCTTCTCAATGGACTCTAACCATGGACGTTCACTGAGTTGTAGAGTCTGTGGGTTTTGTTAATTTCTCTGTGCGATATTTTTTATTGTTTTTACTTATTTTTAAGAGAACCTTACAAATATGAGACTGGTTTGTCAGTGATGGGAAGCCAGTGGAGAGTTTTGAGCACACTGAATCTTGCTCTGTGCATGGGAGGGTGTGGTGTAAGGGTGGTTATGGTGGTAGTCCTTCTCACTGAGAAATTAACTAGTTACATATGTTTAAGGTAAATGCCTGACAGTGGGGTTGCTTTATCAAGGGCTTGACATTCATTATATACTACTGTATTTCTTACTGTGAGATACTTAACTTTCTTGGGTATAGTGAAATTCAAGAGTTTGAAGAGATCAAATACTTAAATATGTATAATATGTAAGCAAGGTGATAATGTGCTTTAATTTTTAAATTAAAGTTTAATATGTTTTCTTTTAAGGTTGTAGAAGGAACACCTCTTGTTGATGGAAGAAGACTCAAGTACAGACTAAATGGTGATTTCCTTAAATACTCAATGACTAACTTTTATAGTTTTTAAACTGTTGGTGTTGATTCACTGGATGTTAAAAAGGAGGTTATCTTTTAGTAGTTTGAACTTGTGGATAAGTTAACTCATTCATAGCTAATATGAAAAATGCTGAATGAACCGAATAGTTACTCTTAGTTTCTAGCTCTCTTTGCTTTCTACTTTATTTGAGATGGGGCTTCAGGTGTTACACAGGCTAGCCTGGAATTCACTTTGTGGTACAGACTAGCCACTGTGCGTCAGCTTCCTGAATACTGGCGTCAGTTGTGTGCCACTGGCCTGCTTAGTTTCATTTCTTTTTTAAGATTTTTATTGTGTTGTGTATGAGTGTTTGCCTGCATGTGTGGATGTATGTACACCACATTTTGTACCTGGTGCCCACTGGAGTCAGAAGAGGGTGTCAGATCTCCTGAAACTGGAGTTACTAACCATTTTGAGCAGCCATGTAGGTGCTGGAAAACCAATGTGGTTTCCTAGGTTGAAAAGAGCAGCCATTGCTCTCATCTTTTGTTATTTTTTTAATTAAATACTTATTTTTGCATGCACACGTGTATGCGAGCATCTGAGTTTGTTGTAGGTGCTGTTTTAAGTCAGAGTTTCTATTGCTGTGAAGAGACACCGTGACCACGGCAACTCTTATAAAGGAAAACATTTAGCTTCAGAGGTTTAGTCCATTATCATGGTGGGAAGCAAGGCAGCAGGAAGGCAGACATGGTCCTGGAGAGGTAGCTCAGAGTTCTGCATCTTGATCTGAAGGCAACAGGAAGTGAGCTGTGTCCCACACTGGGCATATCATGGGCATGGTACCTCAAAGTCCACCCTCACAGTGACACACTTCCTCCAACAAGGCCACACCTCCTAATAGTGCCACTCCGTGTTGGGGGCCATAATTATTGAAATCACCACATGCACCGTGTGTGGGAGCTGTTGGAGGCTAGAAGTGTTGAATTCTCCTACACTGGAGTCACAGGATGTTGTCAGCTACTGTGTAGTGCTGGGAACTGAACCTGTGTCCTTTGAAAGAGCAGTGTGTGCTCTTAACTGCTGAGCCACGCCTCCAGTGCCCAACACGTACTTTTAACCACAGAGTGATCTCTCCAGCATGTTTTATTTTTCTTTTTCCTGTTCATTCTTTTTGTTTGTGTGACAGGGTTTCAATGGTTAGCTCTGGCTGTCCTGGAACTCAGTTTTATAGACTAGCCGACCTTGAACTCAGAGATCCATCTGCCTCTCTCAAGTACTGGATTAAAGGCGTGTGCTACCACCGCCTTTAATTTTCTTAATAACATTTAACATCTGCTGGGCAGTGGTGCCACACACCTTTAATCCCAGGACTGGGGAGGCAGAGGTAGAGTTCAAGGCCAGCCTGGTCTACAAAGTGAGTTCTAGTACAACTAAGACTGTTGCACAGAGAAACTCCATCTCAAAACAAAACCCCAAAAAACCATCAACAAAAGAAATAGCACTTATCATTCATTAAATATTTTTCTAGGATTTTACCATCCTGAGCATTCCTGGGGCTCTAGAGGGGAACCCCCCCCCCCACCTCTGAGCCACTCCTGTCCTTGAGTGCTTGGCTCCACTTTTGTCAACCCTTTGCCTGAAAGCTGCATCTTTACCTATGCTTTTTACATCATAAAGCTGTAATTATTAGTGCTTCTTAATTAAGAGGAAGCTGTAAGGAAGGGTGTAGAAATCTACTGTTAACTGAAAAAGCCAGGAGAAAGCTTTGGGGCCGACAGTTGTGCCTTTCCCATCAGGGTTTTTCCTGGTAGGATGTAGTTGTGGGCTAGGTTGTATTTATTATACACTTGACACTAGGAAGATGATGTGGGCACTTACTGAATGCCCGCTCAGTGTTGGTGCATTCACGTGGAGTGGGGAAGGGACCACTTGGAGTTTGCTTGACAGATGGTGACCCTTTGGTCTAGGCGTCTCCATGGTCAGCACATGTGTTAGGGCTCAGTATAGCTTTACCCACTGAAGACTTTGATAAAGTGCCATTAATGTGATTTTAAGAAATCTATGTGGTAGTTATCTTAAATGAATTTCCATTTTACCTGATTAGGTAGAGTGATTTCATTTTCTGTCAGAATCTTCTGGCAAATGCTCCTCAGTTTAGGACTGCTTACGTCCGTGTAAGTGCATCGTGTCTTGGCTGTGCCTTAAGTTGCAGATGTGCCTTGTGCAGCTGGCCGCCAGTGTCCTAGCCTAGCAGCAGAGACCACTGCAGAGCCTCTGCTATCACTCTTATCATGTAGCTTACTGCACTGCCCCAGCACCAGGAGAGGACATTGTGTGGTATGTTGTAGTCTGGATCCAAATTTGAGTGTGGCTCTGCATGTGTCTTGCTTTTTGTACTGTGCATGCTACAGTGGAAACTTCCCAAGTTGAACCATAGTACTCAAGAAATGGTATGAATAAATTTTAATGTTTGGCTTTCTTCTTTTGTAATTTCGGGTAGTACTTGTTTACTGGCTCGCCTAGCACTCTTACGTGAATTCATTCTGCAGGATTCCAGAAGGGAAGCAGAAGTGTTTTCAGGGCTGCCTGCCTTTAAGTGTCAAGTTGCAAGCCATCCTAGCCAGCTCTGTGCCAGAGCATAGACTGTGTTTGCTGGTGCTGGCCAGCTTGTTGTTTTTGCTCAGCTTCTTGCTGATGGAGCCTGTCTCAGGATCTTTCATGTGCCCTGTCTCTTGCTATCTGTGTCTGGGCAGAAGTGGGTTTTCACATAGCTCTTGGTGTCTTGGGTTTTCCGAGCCCTGTTTTGTCTCCATTGAGGGTGTAGTCTGTTGAGAGCCAAGCACCAAACCTGGGCACTCAATCTTTGTAAGAACGTCCCTCCTCTGTTTATTTTTGCTTCTGATATTTGATTTCTTTATGGGATTTTACCACTAAGGAAATTCCTAAGAAATTTTGAGTAGTTATTTTGCATAGACTATAGAGTGAAAAAGCAACTGTATTGATCACGTCATAAATTTTATGAGGGGTAAAAGTTATTCCTTGGAGTAAACTTGATATGTAGAAAACATGAGTTTAGATAGCAAATTTGTGGTGACCCTCTTAATTTATCAAACCTTAGAAATCTTCTCATTAGTGACCATGGCTTTTCTGTGTGTGAATTGTAATAATATAATTTGATGACTTCATCTGGAACACACCTCAGCACTTCAGCTTTTGCAAGAAAAATGATTTCTTTAACCAAAAGGCAAAATTGCTCTTACCACCACACATTCCATACACTCTCACACACACTCATACTCTCACACATACACACACACACACACACTCTTTCTCTCTCGCTCTCTCTCTCTCTCTCTCTCTCTCTCTCTCTCTCTCCCTCTCCCCCCCCCTCTGTTGGTCAGCACCAGTGGCCTGGCCTATGGATCCTCTTGGGGGTTTCACTCTGCCTATGCATGAGTGTCCATGTGCTGGGATTACAAATATGAGTGATCACACTTGGTTTTCTCAGGGTTTGTTGTGGCCTCTGCTGTGAAGGTTGAGTATCTTCATATCCATTTTCTAGGTGACAGAATATGACTCAAATCTTTATATCATTACTGACTAGTGAATGCCAACATAAATATTAATAATTTTATACCTACTAAGACCATTCTTCTATTAGGTAGTGGCATTAGACTTGAAATTCTGTGCTTGCCAGTCTCTGTTGGGAGCTAGTTATTTGACTTTGGACTCTTGACAGTTTGTAGTGCATTTTGAGATTCTTTTCAGTTTAATGTTTTTTTTTTTGGGTTTTTCAAGACAGGGTTTCTCCGTGGCTTTGGGGGCTGTCCTGGAATTAGCTCTTGTAGACCAGGCTGGTCTCAAACTCCCAGAGATCTGCCTGCTTCTGCCTCCCGAGTGCTGGGACTAAAGAGGCATACGCCACCACCATCTGGTGTTAACAGTAATTTCTATACCCTTTCTTTCAGCTGTCCTTTAACAGTAGGTAATGATGGTTCGTAGTACAAAAGAATGTTAGCATTTTGAAAGACCATACAAGAACTGTAGTATTTACATTAAAGATTGCACCTTAAGGACATTGCATATTTCTGACTATAATCTGGATAATGACATTAAGACTTAAACATAAAAACACTATATTGACTAGTAGCTCCTTGTGCCCAGGAGGCTAAGGTGTGTGGGTATGTGTTTTGAGCCCAGGAATTCAAGGCTAGTTTGGGTACTTTTTTTTTTTTTTTTAAACAAAAACAAATGTGAGCCCTAGGGTGATATTAATTAACTTCTCTCTCTTTTTAAGGATTCAACGCTTTTGTCCTGACATCTGCCATCGTGGGAACATCTCTCTTCTGGGGCATAGAGCTGTGTTATGTGTATACTCACTTCCTTCAGTTCGCACTTGCAGCCACTGTGTTTTCAGTGGTCTTGAGTGTTTATCTCTATGCTCGATCTTTGAAGGCCCCTAGGGATGAGCTGTCACCTGCCAGTTCTGGTGAGCAGTTATAGCTTGTTAATTTTTAGTTATTAGAGGACTAAAAACCTTTAGCAGCATGTTATTTTATTATCTGTCTGTCTGTCTATCTATCTATTTTAGTCAAGTAGTAAATCCCTTAAAAGAGCAAAAAACAAAACCAGGGTGAAAGTTGTTTGGTTTTGACCTAAGATTTTTTTTTTTTTTTAAAGTTTCCCTTTAGTCCAAGCACTTGGTAGGCAGAGGCAGGAAGATTTTTCTGAATTTGAGGCCAGCCTGATCTCAGTAAATAGTTCCAGGCAAGCCAGAGCTACATAGTGAGACCTTTTCTCAAAAAAACAAAACAAAACAAAAAACAAAAAAAACAGAGCCAGGTGGTGTTGGAACTCACTTTTGATTCCAGCACTTGGGAGGCAGAGACAGGCAGATCTATGTGAGTCTGAGGCCAGCCTGGTCTACAAAGTGTGTTCCACGATAGCCAGGGCTATTACAGAGAGACCTGTGACCAACCAAAACCAAAACCAAACCACCCTCCAGTTTCTTAGAGTTGGGGAATCTGGTCACAGGAGCCCTCAGGTGTTTCCCAAGTCCTGTCCTTTGCTTCTTCTCCTTCCGCAGTCTCTTCAAGAGCAGATTGGACCTAGTGATGGGGAACAGTTGGATTTAAAGACTTGTGACTGGCTAAACAATTTTCCCTTCTAGGAAATGCTGTCTACGATTTCTTCATTGGCCGTGAGTTAAACCCTCGAATTGGTGTTTTTGACCTCAAATACTTTTGTGAATTGCGTCCTGGATTGATTGGATGGGTATGTCTTTTATTTTTGTTTGTTTTTGGTTTTTCGAGACAGGGTTTCTCTGCTGCTTTGGAGGCTTTTCTGGAACTAGTTCTTATAGACCAGGCTGACCTCAAACTCACAGGGATCCACCTGCCTCTGCCTCCCAAGTGCTGGGATTAAGGGAGTGCACCACTACTGCCCAACCTGATCAGTCATTATGACCGTCCTTTAATTTGGGTTATTCCACTGTGTTTTCATGATGAGAGTGAGGCTACATGTGTCAGCAAGAGTAGCATAGAGTGACCCGAGGCAGGGTTGAGGTGTCCTGTTTACTGATGGCTATGGGGTGGTGTACCCTGGGCTTCTTAGCCATGCTTGTCCCTGGGAGTGCATTTGAGACCATCGTCTTCCTCTTTTTCTAGGTGGTTGTTAACTTGGTGATGCTTTTGGCTGAAATGAAAGTACAGGAACGTGGTACCCCATCTTTGGCAATGGTCTTGGTTAACAGTTTCCAGCTCTTGTATGTGGTGGATGCCCTCTGGAATGAGGTAAAAAAATTATTATTATTATTATTATTATTTTGGGGGTCCTAGTAGTCCTTGCTGGCTGAACATGTGATTTTCCTGTCTCAGCCTCTCAAGTTGGGGTTACAGGAGTGCACTTCTGTGCCTGCATGGGATAGTTTTAAGAGCTGAGTTCTTGGAGGCCATGAAGTCAAGCAGCTTTGAGAGGTAGTTTTCCTCTGTGGAGCCTGAGCTGCGTACTTACATCCAGTGTGAGGCTGACACAGCTGTGTCTGGCTTGTGTTGGTCATGATCTTGTGGCTCAATGGGGGCTGCACAAGAACACTGGTAGGTGTGTCAACAGCTGTTTAGAAGCGACTCCTGTTAGCATCCTAAAGAAAAACTCGGGTGTGTGTGTCACATACATGGGAGGGCCAGAGGCCTGGCTCAGTGCTACTCTTGGGACCCTGTTGTTTTAGAGTGAGGGGTCTCACTGGCCTGATTGAGCAGCAGGCTCCAGGACTCGCCTGTGCTGGTATTACAAGTGCACACCGCCTCATTTTTAGTGTCGATTCTGGGGATTGAATTTGGACCTTCATGCATACACAGCACACACTTTACTTAGCGTTCTTCCCAGCTGCTTAACGTGATATCAACAGGAGGCTTGGAGTTGGGGAGTATCTGTCTGTCCTCAGTGTCTCAGCTAGATTATAAAGAAGGGAGTGACTTTAATTTTTTCAGCACCTGGCAGCTGCTTGTAATTTTGCGTGCAGATCTGCTACTTTAGGAAACCGAGAACGCTTGTGCAGCTGCACCTGCTTTGGAGAGTCTGCCTTGTGAACTGAGGCCCCTAGAGCATGAGCAGGGCTTAGGGTCTTAATTGGTCCCAGGCTTCCTGACACTTGTTCCTCACACTGACTGATTTTGGTCACAGTATCGTTCTTATTTGTCATATTCCCTGGGCTCCCCCGTCACCTTTTTCTTTGTCTTGGATCCTCATATCAGATCATATCCCCCAGAGATGCTATGTGGAATCATCCTTCTGACATCCAGGGTTGTAAGCCTTAGGGCCTAGATTTGTGACCTGACTTTATTCCATGATGATCTGGAGTGGATGCCCCTGGAGGTACTACTTTTTTCTTTAGCCCAGACCTAGTTTTTCGATAACTAGCTAGTTGTATTACTTCAGGGGCAGGTACCAGAGTTTCCGGCACTCAGATGTGCTTGTGAGCCTGGCCTTCAGGCATCTTGGTCTAGAGATACCTAGTGAACCATGTGTTCCTGCTAACAAACTGAGCATGAGTGTGACACCTGATTGGTTTACCATGTTGTCAGCCAGCTTGCTGCTCTTGTGGACCATGCATTGGAGAGTTCAGATGATCCAGATTTGGTTGGTAGTTGTACTGTTTTTCTACACACTTTGAACCCATAACTTCTTGCTAGGCACTGTGGCATGTACACCTGACGAAAGAGAGGCTTACTGTGCAATAGAGAGCATAAGTGGACAAGTAGAGTGACCAGTGGCTTTCTGGGATGCAGCATGCTGACATCTGTGCAGGACTGGCCAGGTGCAGGGTTAGGAAGGCTGCAGGAAGTTGAGGTCAGGGAGGCCCTGGGCAAGGACAAAAGCCTTCTTGGGGTTTAGATGTCTGTTACTGCAGGAGTTGAGGGTGAGGAGGGGGCTGGAGAGGTGGGACATGTGACTTAGGCCAGAGCAACTGAACTCCTGCCTTTCAACATTTTGGTGTGCCTTCTCTTAACATACTTGGTCATAAATTAGCACTTGGCTTAAATCCTGTAAACATAAGATGGTTCTTATTTCTTCCCATTGTAGGAAGCGCTGCTGACCACCATGGACATCATCCACGATGGCTTTGGCTTCATGCTGGCCTTTGGGGACTTGGTGTGGGTCCCATTCACCTACAGCCTTCAGGCCTTCTACCTGGTCAGCCATCCCCATGACTTGTCCTGGCCCTTGGCTTCTGTCATCATTGCTCTGAAACGTGAGTGCTAGCCTCTCTTCAGTCTGAGGCACTGTGCCTACTGTTTTCCGGTTGTTGTCTGTCACACCCCATCTTACCTGATCACGGGTGTGAAATAATTTATGATGGATAAGTACTGAGAAAATTCTGAAGTTTGCAGAGAATGGAAGACTTGCTGGCTCCACTAGCACTACTTTCAGTAGAAGATTTTACTTTTAAGTTTAAGCAATTGAACTTAAATAAATTGAATTGCTTTAGGAACAATTTGTCTTTCAAATGCCTGGATTTTCTAGAGGCTGAAAAATGAGACTGGTCTTCTTACAACTTTGGGTTTCCCTGTAGAAACGATACCAGCTGCTGTGTCCTGAGGTGCTCACGCACTGGACTAAGGAGCACATATGGCAAGGGAGCCAGTTTTTGAGGAATGTCAACTTGTACTTCCTGGAGGATGTGGCTTTAATCTGAGGCTCAGTGGGTTAGGATGGGATGGGAGAAGTCAAGTCAGCACAGGTGAGGGGTGGGTGGGTGGGTGGGACAGAGGGAGAGGCCAGTTTGGCTGCTGAGAGGTCTTCCAGGTCAGGTGGTTTTCCTTTAGTCCTTCGTGATTATTCACACGAGAGGTGGATGGGAAAACCAGCTCTGAACTTCCGACAGAGCGAGTTTAGGACACTAAGTATCTTCTTGAGGGAAGAGGAAATCCAAGCACTTGGTTAAAGTGAAGATGTCCTTTCTCCATTGTTTGCTTATGCCTGTCACTGGCACTCAAGTGGACATTGGGATTTGTTATTGGGATTGTAGTGCCAGGTCATGGCCTGTGGAGATGTGAATAAACCTGTCCAGGCTGAGGGGCTTCACACAGAAGTGCAGACACTGGTTACGAGGAAGTGTCTGAGCGTAGCCTGCAGTCAGTGGCCCCTGCTGCCGTGTCAGATCCTGGTCTCTGTGGACATGGATGGCTTGGCTGTGTTAGTTTTTCCTTCAAGATGGATGATGAGTTAAGATTTCAGAAGAGTTCACTGGCATTCAGGGCGTGGATGTTTATTAAGTTCCAGATGATTTTAGATGTAATTCACACCTAAATTACTAACAGGAAATATTTTAAAATTTCAGTTTGTGGCTATGTAATCTTTCGTTGTGCAAACTCACAGAAAAATGCATTCCGGAAGAATCCCACTGATCCAAAGCTTGCACGTAAGGGTTTCTTTAACAAATTTATTGATATATTTATACGTGTCGGTTTCTATGGCTCATTTTTTAGAGGTCATTAAGAGGTTTTTGTTTTGACACAGATTTAAAGACCATTCATACGTCCACGGGTAAGAGTCTGCTTGTCTCTGGATGGTGGGGCTTTGTTCGCCATCCCAATTACTTGGGTGACCTCATCATGGCGCTGGCATGGTCCCTCCCATGTGGTAAGTAAGCATCTCAGTGCTAACTTGATCACTCTATGTCATTGGTTGGGGTGAGCACACCTGCCTGCTGTGGGCTCCAGGACCTTGGTGTCTATTAGTTGCTGTCTAGTTTCTGAGGGTATTGGGAATAAGAAGACTTTATGGAACAGTTAGTTTGTGATTTGGCATACCTTAATCAGAAAACTAGATCTTCCTTTGGGCACTTGACGGAAATGAGGAGAAATCATGGAATGGAAATAAAAACATTGAGTGGCTGCTGTTGTCGCCTACAGGCTTTAACCACCTCCTGCCTTACTTCTATGTCATCTACTTCACTGCGTTGCTTGTCCACCGCGAAGCCCGTGATGAGCACCAGTGCAAGAGGAAATACGGCCTGGCCTGGGAGAAGTACTGCCAACGAGTGCCCTACCGCATACTCCCCTATGTTTACTGACCCCACAGGTCAGATGACTCACAAAAACAAGAAGTCCAGACGAACTAATTGTTGATGCACTGACAAGAGCTCTTAAGTTTGTTCTTTGAGTCAGGACCATAGAGCCAAATAGTGAACCTTTTAATGTAGTTGTATAGCAGTTAATGTAAGCGGAAATACAAAGGTGGTAGAATTTGCTTGTTAATAGGAAAGTTTTAATCCCTAAAAATCTGAAGTCTCATTTTCAATTTTTTTGCCATTTGGTTTTTCATAAGTGAAAACCCTTAAAGCACATCTATGCTTCATAGTACTTAAAGAGACATAATGAAAATTCTGTCTCTAAATATATGTCCACAAACCCCAGCCCAGTATTGGTGGTATATGTGAAGAGTAAGCAGATCCTTAAGCAGGGCCTGCTTAAGGGTGACCATTTAGAGCAGTGGCTTGACCTCAGCCTTTAAAAGTGCATTTGGAAATGTAAATACATAGCTTACTTTTATGTAATATATGGTGACTTGTGATTTTTCTGTACAGTTTGTCAATGTGAGATAATTGTCAGGAACTAAGTAGTTTTTTTTTTTTGACAAAAACATTTTCAGTGTTTTAAATTAAGTGTGTGTAAAGTAATGTGAATTTAAAAGTGTAAAGCAATTAGAATTCATTTAAAGTTAAAACATAGGAAAGTTATTTTTCTTTATCCAAAGTTTGTGAATTTGGCTTTGCTACCTCAATTTGCAGGTGTGTTTGCCTTTATAAACTGTTGCAAATAGAAAAAAAAAGTATATTTTTGGAGTAACAGCACTATTTAAACATTTTTACATACATTGGTATTAGAAAAATTGCCATTTCAGGCTACTATTTTTATATATTTTTTGACTTAAAATTCAACAGTGTTTTTGCTACTGTTAAGGTCATACAGTTTATACTATTTTGTATCATTTATGTCTTCAGAACTCCCTAAAAAGGAGTTCTACCTGAAACAACTTTAAGGAGCTAGTTGAAACTTTGTTTTTTGTCTCAGTTTAATAGATGTAATAAGCTGGTTGTAGCCATTCAATTCTAGTGAGGTTGATTAGTTTCATAGTAACTGTCCTGGAGCAGGACAGGTGGCAAATTCTCTAGACTTTTATATTCAAAGCTATACATGGTCCTCAGCATCTTAAACACAAAGATGTAATTATAGTGTGTACATTTGGGTTTCGATTACACATATATGAGCCAGATGCAAATGTTCATTCTGCTCTGCAGCTTAGAGTGTATGTAAAGTAGCTTATATTAATGTGATCATGAAGTTGACACTCTCCATTCTGTAATTTTTAGACTCTGTTTTTATGAAATTGTCATTGTTTTACAGAACTAAGGTCTTCAAGCAGGTGTTTTTCTATTTTGCTTTTCTCCTGGTATCAGAAAGTGGTATTGGCATGTATGTGCTGGACTTAACAAGGGAATTTTGGGTAAGATGAAAGATGTTGGGTTCTCTGCCCGCTAGTGAGAAGAGTCTGAGATAGGATAATGCGCCAGTGTCTGGGTGTCAGGTCCAAGTTGTTTTTAAATTGATGTTTAGCAAGCTTTGTAGTAAAATTTTAGTTGAAAATAAAGAGTTGCTTTGATCACTTTAGAGCCTCCTTTTTGCCTGCAGATCTCTAGGGTTACATAGCAGCCCATGCTTTGCAGCCTTAACCCATTTTTTTTCCCCCTAGGTTCATTTGTTTGGATCTTTCTGAGCTTTAGGAACCCAGGGACTCCTGACCAGGTTTCAAGCTTCAGATTGCTGGAGCCTGAGCCAATGGTGATTCATTCCTGTAACCACAGCTGTCCTGGAGGTTGAGTAGGAGGGTCACCATGAGTTTGAGACCATTCTGGGTTTGAGAGTGAGGTCTTGTCTCAAAAACCAGAACCCCATAAATAATGAGTTTAGGGATAGGGGCTCTTAGAAACACTGAGTGCCTAAAAGCTGTTGTAGTGTCTGTAGCACTTGGAAAAAAAAATATATTAATTGCAGAAGCCCATGTGTTCATTTCAAAGCCAGCACACACACTGCTTACCTAGGGAAATCTCCCTTGCATCCGCTGAGGCTGTAGGCACACGGCGCTACAAGGCTGTTCCCACAAGTGGATGTCTTGATGTATGTAAGTAGAGCTCAAACTTAAACTGTTTTGGTATGGATATTTATTTCATTCATTTTTCTCACACAGCAGTGCAACCTGCATGGTGATCCAGTGGCTAGGAGGTTTCTTCGTTGGTAAATGCACGGATGTTAAGAAATCTGTTAGCGACCCAGGAGTATTTCTTGACCTCTCAGGTGTTTGGTAAACCGGACATTCAAAAGTCTGGAGTTCTGAGTTTTTTTGGTCAGAAGCATGGAGCGTTTCAATCTAAAAATAAAGATTCCTAGAGTCAAATCACACTTGCTGTTAGTAGCTCTAAGGCATCCTGCTATGAGTTAAATCCATGCAGTTGCATGTTGAAATTGTACCTGGAGAAGTTAAAATAGAGATAACTTGATAGCTTTCTGTATAATATTCCTGAAAGGTAATGCAATATTGTACTATTTTGTCTGAAGTTCATTATTACATTTGAAGGGACTCTTTTTTTTTTTTTTTTTTTTTTTTTTTTTTAAAAGGGGTTTTTTTTTTTTTTTTTGTTTTTGGTTTTTCAAGACAGGGTTTCTCTGTATTGCTTTAGAGCCTGTCCTGGAACTCGCTTTATAGACCAGGCTGGCCTCACAGAGATCTGCCTCCTGAGTGCTGGGATTAAAGGTGTGCGCCACCAATGCCCGGCATTGAAGGGACTCTCAATAGGCTTAAGCATGGCCCTGGCAGGCCCTGTCTGTCCTTCCCCGTTCCCTCTTCATTTCTAAAATCTGTTAGATTGAATTTGTAGAGTCAGCCATCAAAAGCTTCCTTTGGCTCACCTAATTAACACGCCTAATCCTAACATAGGATTTCCCCTTGTATCTTTATAAACTGCCATTTTCCTGTGTGCCACTTCTGTATCTAGAGGCAATCCTTTGCCCCATACCCCCCCACCCCAGGGTAAATACCTCTCTCTTCTCCTCTATCTCCTGTCTTTACCTCTTGCCCTCTGTGCCGAGAACTTGGTCTGTGCCATTAACCAGCCCTTTGAACATTTCCCTCATTGAGATTTCCTTATCAAGTTAGTTGATTACCTTCAGTGGCAAAAAGTGGATATCAGGAAATTCACAGCATAAGTCACCAGGCAGAGTGTCTTCCAATACTTCCAGTTCAGGATCCCACCGTGCTCCCTCAATGAATAAACCAAAAATGATCACACCACTGGGAGATTGGTCGGGAGAGTGGGCCTGCTCCTGGGGCTGAGGAGAGAGAAGGGTCAGGATGCATCTTTCTGAAGCCATGAGCCTCAGCCTAAGAAAAACTGCCCCCCCCCCCCAAATGCCCTGTCTCATGTTGCCCTGAATGCTGAAATGAAACCAGACTCCAAAAGTTTCTTGGAGGGGAAAAGCAACTATGAAAGGAGTCAGCAAGCTGTGCTTTTCACACAAGACTCCCTTACTTCGTAAGGGTTTGGGAATTGAAGAGTCTGGGAACAATGCTGTAGCTCAGAATAAGAATTTGGATTTCTCCTGAACTCTTAGGAAGAAAATTGCCAGCAGCTCCAATAGCATGTGTGTCCTGGGTAGTGGGTGTGCCACACTGCTGCTGGTCTGAGGGCTGGGGGCAGGGCAGATGAACCCATTATGGCTCAGGGGCCTTTGCTTCTCTGGTTGAGTGTGTGAGTCCTTGAGACAAAATGGGCACTGCTGTCCTGGGTCAACTGGTTGACATGGAATTGCTGTGTAGACAGGCCCCAGTGTGGTCAGGGACACTTCTAGGCTGTGAGTATTCTGGAATGGGACCATGTCTGGAGGTGCAAGCTAAATGCCTAGAAACGACTTGTATTTTCACTTCTTGCATAAAATCTTTGTGGGAATTATTTTATACAATGCCTTTTATTCTTTTTCCCTTACCATTTGGGTAAGTGGCAAGTTTCTTCCAGTGCACTTGTTCTAGTATTGTCTTTTCTTATGCATCATGGGAGAAGTTAATCTGTGTATTTGGTAATATGATTTCCACTTATAATTACGTGATATGGCCTTGGTATTCTTTTGAGACAGTCTCTCTCTCATATAGCCCAGGCTTGCCTAGGACTTGTTATGTAATGGAGGACAACCTTGAATTATTGATCTGTTTGCCTTCACTTACCAAGTTTTGGAGTCATAGCTGTGGCCACTGAACAACAGTTTGTAAGTGATTCTACAGAGAGCTATTTAAAAGTAAACGGAAGCTATCTTACTTTATCCTGGTGTAAAGCAGAAAGAAGGGAGGGCCTGCTTATACGCTTTCCCTTTCTGTCTGTCTGTCCTCAGATATGCAGCATTGTCTCTTACTTCTCTTCAGTCTTCTAACCTTTCATTCCTAGTCTGTCACCTCTTACACCTCATTCCCTGCTCACTTCACTATTAAATATACTGCATTTCCCCCAGCCAGGACTCCTGTTTTCAAACCTGGATAGGAACACAAGTCAAGTCTCAGTATTTATTGTCTTCTACAGCTAGCTAGAATCTGAACATAAACTCAAGTGAAGACAACCCATCATGAAGATTCACATAAGTGTGAGAAAAAGAGGGGCATTACAGATCAGAGGACGCGACACTCCACCCAGGACCCCACAAACAGACTGAGTGACATTCTATCCTAGCACTCCAGAAGCAGACAGCCTCTCAATACTGGAAAAGAGCCGAGACATGGAAATGCCAGAGTCCCCAAAGAAACACATGGAATTCAATTCAAAACATGCATAGAAAAATTACAAAATTTCAAGATACAGCCAGGAGAGACACCAAACTAGGCCATTGAAGAAATCAAGTTAGAAATTTAAAAATACCTTGGATGAAATGAAAGCAAAAGCATAACCCACCAGAACCTTTAGGGTACAATGAAGGCAGTAGTCCTGAGAGGAGAGTTTGCAGCTCTGTGTGCTCCTGTTAAAAGAGTTTAAATAAATAACCCCCAAGCTCTGGAAAAGCCAGGAGCAGCCAAACCCAAGGCAACAGATGATAAAAAAAACCACAGCCAGGTGGATGAGATGGAAAGATCACACAACATTAAGCAGACAAACAGCTGCTTTTTTTTCAACGATTCAGTAAGATTAACCACACAGGCGCCAAATTAACCAAAAGAAACGGAAGGTGCAAATTAATAAAATCAATGACAGAAAGGGAGTTGCTACAACAGACTAATGAAAGCTGGGTCATTAGGGAATGCTTTGAAAACTCAGATTACAATAAATTGGAAAATGGGTAATAATAGGCAAAATGGGCAAGTTTCTAAGTGCATATGACCTGCAGAAGTTAAAGCCAGAATAAATAAATAAATAAATCTCTCTAAACATATCCATAGCGAACCAGGAGGGGGAAGAAATCATTGATTTAAAGAGAAATCTGGCACTAGGGAAATGTCCAGAGATCTACAAGGATGACAACAGCTAACAATCTAATGCGAGAGGCTATTTTAAATGCCCTTCCCCGAGAATGAGATTGATGACACCTTATATGCCTTCATCCAGTAGCTGATGGAAGCAGAAGCAGACACCCACAGAAACAGCTGACCTGAACAAGGGGGAGCTCATGGACCCCAGACTGATGGCTGGGAAACCAGCATAGGACCCAGCCAGACTCTCTGAACGAGGATGTCAGTTTGGAAGTCTTGGAAATCTATGTGGCGTCTGGCAGTGGATCAGTACTTATCCCTAGTATATGAATGGACTTTGGGAGCCTACTCCACAGAGAGGGATGCTCTCTCAGCCTAGACATACAGGGGAGGGCCTAGGCCCTGCTCCAAATGATGTGACAGACTTTAAAGATTCCCCCATGGAAGGCCT